CAATACAATTCAAGTTTATACATTTTTTGCTACTTCGAATGAAAAAGGGTAGTCGATTATTCTTATAAAGATATAATCTATCTTTTGCCAATATACTCTCTCGAGAAAAATAAAGTTTTTCTTCTTTTGTAAAATTTTTTTTATTGACTAGTTTCTGTAGGATTGTGACCCCACTTCATCAGAACTTTACAGAAAACGAAAAACTTTTACAATAATAATAATAATAAAAAAACGAAAAAAATATATATTATCGAGGGCTAGAAGAGCCCAACGACGAAAAATATATGTCATCGAGGGCTAGAAGAGCCCAACGACGATGCCCTTTGGCCAGAGGGGCCTCCAGTGCGTACAAAAATACAAATACAAATAAAAACAAAAATATATTGTTCATGTTGTGTATCTATACCACCGGAAACTATCGGAAAACCATAAGTTAAAGTGCAGTTGTTGTTGAATAAACAGCGCTATCATTAACACCGATACCAGGACCAGTTACATCGTTAGGGTTATGTAAAACCCAGCAACAGAACCAGTTACATTGTTAGGGCTATGTAAAAACCCATACCGATGCGAGGACCAGCTTCATCGTTAGGGTTATGTAAAACCCATAACGATAAGTTAAGTATATATTTTAAGTGCTGATTTATCTGGCTCCTTATGAACACGGTAATCTTGAAGATTATCTAATCTTTTAGAACCAACAATCGGTATCATGTTACAAATGGCTGTGTCACAAAAAAAAATCGGCCCAGAGTTTGTGAAAACGGGTCGAAAAATCATGCATTCCTTTACAAAAGGAAAAATGACACATAATATTAACTTTGAAATCTATTTCAGCCTTCCTTGCATTATTATCTGTGGCATTAAGAAGGATCTTTCTTATATCTAAGAAATTCTCCTGTGTAGGCACCGTACATTGAAATGTCTGTGAGACTCTTTCAAATTGTTCTAGAATAAAATCCAATGGGTATTTGTTCAAGAGTAATGGTACACAAATATGAGCTTGTTCACATTTATAAATATCATAACTTGAACAATAACGTATAGCTCTTACTAGAGCTCCAAAAGGAATATTCTCTTTTATATGACGTGCATGTGTACTTGTGTAAGGGAGGAAATATGGTTCATATGATGGTTTATGAAAAACCTCAGATGTCAATTTACCTCCTCTATTTTCAAGTTTAACGTCGAGGTACTCTGCAGTCTGTCCTAGGGATTCTGAAAATTCAATATTATTATCGATCCTATTCCAGAATTTCACAAGACCTTTTAATATGTCTGTATGTACATTCGACATGATAAATAGATCATCAATATATCTATAATATAATGAACATGTCGTATTGGTCCATTTTGCAATTGGCCGTTCAACAAAATACATGTATGCATTCGCTATTGTCAGGGTCAATGGTGAGCCCATAGCTCCTCCACGTATTTGTTTATAATATGACCCATCAAAATAGAAATAATTATTTGTTATAACAAATCTGGTAAGAGCTAATATAATCTCTTTTTTAACACCATCGATTTGTTTTAAACCAGATGCTGCAATTAATCTTTTTATGGCTGTTACTCCTTCTTCTTGAGGAATCATTGTATACAAATCAGTAACATCCATTGTTATGAATGATGTGGCTGGTGTAAGATATGTAGCCGATCATCTTTCAACTTGTTTTATTAATTGAACCCCATTCAATATGGTTGTATTAAATGCTAATCGATCGAATAGAGGTCTTAGAAGACCATCTAACCATTTCGATATACCAATGGTTGGGGACTTGAGACCAGCCATTATAGGTCTCAATGGTGTATCTGGTTTATGTGCTTTGGGTAAGAAATAAAGGTGAGCTAATTCAGCTTCTTCTTTATTAACCTTTAATTTCTCATATTGTTTTTGTGTAATATGTTTATTATACCATAAACTATAAAGAAAATTATTTGTACGTTCAACCAAAGATTCAAGTGGATTTGTTGTACCCAAATCTTGATATGCTTTAGTTTCAATCATATATATTTGAGCTTTCACTTTATAGTCATCAAGTTTACCAAGATGGAAAACTTTCGATTTATC